GTTGTTGTTGTTGTTGTTGTTGTTGTTGTTGTTGTTTTCATCTGTCAATTCGGCGCCTTCTTCTTTCCAGCAAATTTTCTTATTGTTACACACACCATAACCGAAAGGTCACCAAAAAAGCTTTACAAATTTTTATTCCCACCACTATAGGCATAAATTCCGTAATTGTCCCATTTTATCCCCATGATGCGCCTAATTTCAAATAAGTTCAGATATTTTCTTACGCTTGTTGGTCAATGTCAATAAAACAAAGCCGCAATGGCATCACTAACACCACCACTACAAACACCAGCAAGAGCAACAATAACAAAAACAAAACAAAAAATTTGGTATAAACTGAAAATAGAACTTTATTTTGCCATTTTATTCTCAATTCCTTAAAAACAGAACAACAAAACTTTCATTCGTCATTGTTTGTTACGCACATATTAGTACGCGTCGGTGACAGCGGTACAGTGTGAACAAGAGCAAACAGCGGTAGTAGATTGGGATCGCTTTGGTTGAAGGTGACCCAGTTGGCTATTCAGTCAATCAGTCCACTGCAATGGGTCCGACAACTGCCGGCTTGACGTTGTTACTGGTGTTCATCCCAACTATCCTTTCACAGACATTTCGGTTTCAGCGCGAAGAATTTGGACGTGCTGATGCGCCAATATTTACCTCGTTTAATAAAGATCAGCCATTAACGCAAGAGGTTTGCTGCTCTTTAACTGTTATTGCTCAGAAGTTCTAGGGTGCAAAAACAACTGAGTCTCTTTTTTAGAGTGATTAAGATACTGTTTTTAGGATGCTCTGAGAGCTGTATTCCACTGTTTTGCATTAATTACTGATACTTATCGTTAAATAACTATTGATTATATTGTATTATATTGTAAGGAATATCAGATTTTAAGTATTACTGGTTGTCTGCTGATTCAGGAAAAAGATGCCGTAGATAAAGCAGCTGAAATAGCAGATAATGTCTTAAATCGCATTGGTCTTTCATTGGATGGCCGTACTGTACGGAGGAAACCGTTAAAAGCAACCGAATATCAGGCCGAAGAGCTAAATTCTTTGGTCAAAGAAGCCAATCAAAATCGTATAGATCTACATGGAATGACTAGTGGTCAGATACCCGGATTAGCACCAATTCCAGTACCTGGATTTCCGGGGCCTCAAGATGTTCCAACAATTCCGGGAGTTAACACTATACCTGGATTGAGTAATTTTAATTATTTGGTAAGCTTTATCTATATTTCAGTTTAAAAATTTCAGTCTTTTTTTTTAAACACTATGGATTACAGATGCACATTGACAAGAACAGTGTTTATCAAGGAGGTGGTTTATTTGTTTCAGGTTGGTCAGCTATTTCCGCAGATGATACCTCCAACGAACACACTTCTTGGGTCATCCATTAGTCGACTGCTACCAAAAGATTCGGCTAAAAACTTAGCGAAAGACGTTTTCAGGGCAGTACATCCGGCAGCCGAAAATGTTGACGTTGCACGAATGATGGGACGGTGGTTTCAGGTATGTAATTATTGGAGTTATTAGTGTTTTGGAGGGTCGTTTGAAAATGGATGTAGGACATGGATTAAAAAATCAAATTTTCCAAATTGAAAATAATTTCAAGCAAGAATTTGTCTTGTCTTAATTAATTGCTAGGAATGAGACTTCCTGCGAAAAAGCAAAATAAAGTACAACATTAACACTCTATTAAATATTCAAATGAATTTTCAATTTAGGTAATCAACAGTCCGCATGTAATTCGCGAAGCCTGCACCGTATCTCACTGTAAGTCTAAAAACTGAGGTTTACTGTGATATTGGTTGTTTATGCTACACTGAAACTTTCTTTTTAGCAATTAATTCGTAAACTTCTTTTTTCCTAGTCTTTACCGACTAGCAGACTTATTCAAAAATTTAGATAATTTAGAATACAAAACATTTTAATTGGACAATAAATTTCAGTTGGTGCTCTTACCAACAACACCTACAGCGCGACATTCACAATTCTGAAGTTCTACCGTGAAGGTAATCCAAACGGTCCTCCACGCTTTTCGCTTGGTTATGGCTTCAAAGCCGGCGATACCGGTCAATTCGTTTTGCACAGCAGCAACTCACCGGACTCTGAACCATGTTAATTTTTATCTTTCTCAAGGCCCATTATTTTACCGACTTTCTGAATAAGGTTTTATAATAAGCACAAAAAATAATAACCTTCAATGCTTTTTTTTTTAGTTTGGGTCATTAAAAAAGGACCGCTGAACGAATACAAGCAGTATGACTATGCAGTTGTTTCTAACTGGGTAAGGTTCCCAGTATTTGTTATTGCTCGAGACCCAGAACGTTTCCGCAAACAACATATGAAGAGCGTTTTACAGTTCCTTGAAGATAACAGTAAGTGATTTTCCAAATTTTTTCAAACTTATTTCTCAAAATTAATTTTTATTTTGTTTCCATCTATTTCAACAATCAATTCAACGCGAATTTTTTACAAGAGACATTTGTACTTCAAAGAATGCATTAGAAAGAATAACAAACGAAAAAAATTTACGATTCCGATCTATGCCATTGGCCTGGTTCAAAAAAAACTTTAAAATTTTTTTGCTATCAAACAAAAAGGAAAAAATAAAATTAGAAAAATTATTTGCGTTTGTATTGAACGTTTGCAGTTATGTTTCAAAAAAAAAAATTTTTTTTAAACTTTTTCACTTCAAATTTTTCACCTTTTTTTTTTTTCTTGTTGAAAAGGGTAAAGGAGAGGTACAGATAACTATGAAAACATATCAATGCTCAATTTGTCCTACTTAAAGCTTTGGAGGTGCTAAAAAGAAATAATAAAGAAGTAAAACAGTAAAAAAGTGCTTTATCGCTTTTCAGATTACATAAATGTGATGACAAAAGCATTCAATATGATCTCGCCGGTTGATTACAGTCAATGCCAATACACTCCGACATTTTCCGGTGCTGGAAAGTAGACTCCTAAACAAATTTTAATGTGATTTTTCTTCATCCAGTCTCTCTTATCTTTTCAGTTTCTAAGCGAAAAAAAAAACAACTTGTTGATTAGCTGTTGCACAGCTTTAAAAATCAAAAAAAAGCTTCATAGAATTTGTTTCTTTCGCTATCTGTTGCCTCAAATTTAACTATAGTTTCCTGATTTTTCTTCTTTTGTTGTTCTGCTCAAAATGTATCTACAAATATTGTTCATTCAGTTCTGAAAAAAAACGATGAGCAAAAAGAAGACAAAGAGAAAGGAGAAGATTTAGTGAACAAGAAGAAAAAATTGTTTTTGTGTATCTGAGTGTGTGTGTGTGTGTGTCTGTGTTTGTTTGTCTGAGTGTCTGAGAGTGTCTGCGACTGTATATCTATGTTTTCTTCTGTGTGCGTGTGTTATTTTTTTTTTTGAGAGTAGTGTACAGTTATTATAAGGCATTTATAAAATTACCTTTCTTTCTGTTGTTTATTTGCATAAAAACGGTAGTTACAGCTTCATTTTCTCTTTGCAGCAAAATTTGAACAGTATTTTATAACTGATGGATAACGCTCAGTGTAACGACATAAAATCGAAAGTCTTTAAAGACTTGTTTTTTGTATTAGAAGTCCTTAGCGTTTATTGAGCATTTTATTTTACTAACTGGAACTGTAAGTTTTTTCTTCTGTGTGATCAGTTTGCTGCACAAATATAAAAAATTGAATACCGATGTTTAACTGGAGAAAAGATGAATTAAATGGAGGACTAAGTAGTTGAGGAAATGAAAAACTAAACAAACTGTAATAGTTTTAACTGATTGTTGCAAAAAGTGTTAAGCGTCAATTAAACGGTTATTTTTTTGTTTCTGCTTAGCCTAAAGAGTTTTTTTTGTTTCTTAAAATTCTGTTTACAGTTAAAAATATATGCATCTTGCCTGTTGCCTTTTTTTCCTTACCTATCACAAAGCGGCAGGAAATTACTTAAATTTAGCAATATACTCTTTGACGCTTGCTACATTTAGTGATAGTATTCAATTTACAACGGACAAACACCAAACAGATGGACAAATAAATAACGCAATTTGTCGTTGAAAATTTTGGTCAAAAATTTAAAAAAGCATATCAGTGATATATTAATGATAATGGCAGAGATGTTAATGGTGATAATAATAATAATACCAGTAAAGTGCTCATTCTTTGTACAGCCCAACAGAAAGCACAAATTGAGATGCTAAAATATTTGTTGCAGTTTGTTAACCAGATAGGTTCAAAATTTATCCAACAAAATATTTTGTTTATTTTAAAAGATATTTAAGTCTAATCTAATTAGTCATCATTATTTGTGCGCAGAACTATTAAAAACACTCAAATTATGGCATTGGTCACCAAAAAAATCACTAATACTGTGGTTATGCTTTGTTTCGGCAATTTTTCTTCTTCTTTTTTTTGTGGTTATCACTGATGCTAATCTGTTACTATTGCTACTGCCGGTACTAACAACACATTTAGATCAATCATTTATTAGACATATTCTAAGATCAAAAAAATATTTATATTCAAGTCATATTTACAGCAAAAAAAAAAAAACAAAG